CCCCAAAACCCCAAAACCCCAAAACCCCAAAACCCCGGGAAATTAGTGTTTAGTTGAAATTTAAGAGGGATTTCAGTCATTGTCTCGGAGACTTTGAGTGTTGTTTTGTAGGGAGGAGTTAGGTAGGAAGCATGAGCTTAGTCTGGGGAATGGCGAGTAGAGGGTCTAGTTTGTTTAGCCTCTCGTCTTCTATGAGGGAATAGAAAGCTAGGGTGTAGTAAGTGTGTACTATGTCTGGAAATTCGGAAAATACTAGTTTGGCGTATCCTCCAAATCTCTTGCAGTCTTCACAGAACTCTGTTATGCTTTCTTTATGTACAAATTCTGTAGGGAATGTGTTATCAAGAATAGCTAAGCTTGCGGAGTTCCAGAATCAATAGCATGTATCTGGTATTTTATTGACTCTTCCTTGAAATCCATTGGTTTCCATTCACTGCCTTGATACTAGCCACTCGATGATTCTTTCCTTATCATCAGATAAATCATCTAATCGCCCAAGACACTTAAAGGCTCCCAATAAGCAATAAGTCAATCCTGCATGGGATTCAGACTCTGGGAACCATCCAAAACCTCCATCATAGGAGAGACAATTTTTGTAGAACTCTATCATTTTGTCAACATCAAAGCTAGGAGGAATGTCGAGATCTCCTAACTTCTCTGCCATCATCTTATGAATCGCTGCTGCTCAATAGGCAAACCTTACATCATCTTCTGAGTCAACTGGCAAGCATTGGATTCGGCCATCCTCTTTCTGAAAATACTTAAGTGATTGTATTATTTGCTCTCAGTTTACTCTTGAGAGGTCATCTCCAAGCATCTTGAGTACACAAATTGCAGAATAGGTATTAGCCAAATGTGGGAAATCTCCTTGATGTATATGAGTTTGGCTTTTGCTATCTTTCTTGATACTAAATTCTCTTTATTAATTTGACTTACCTATAAAAGTCATCTCCTCTGAATCCATGGTAATTGTGATCTACAAAATTATCATAACTAGAGATTCCTCGAATTGATTCATCCAAGAGTGCATAATTTTAAAAATATCATAATTTAGAACGATTTTTATGCAAATATTAAATTCTGACAGTCTACTCAGATAAAGCTCAGGTAAAAATTGTTCAGAAATATCAACCAATATCTAAGAGGTTATTCTAATATTGTCATTCTTCGATGTAAGGCATAAAGACAAGATATGGAAAGTGTCAGATAAAGTTGTAAATAAGTTTTCTCTTCAGAAAATTCATATCTGAAAAACTACATAAAAATATATCTCAATATTTTTACCTAGTGCTGAATCACTTTCATCTTGATCAGAATCGTTTTCAGAATTTTCATCTTCGATCTGGAAGGAATAGACCCAATCAATAATCTGTTCCTTCGTGAAGGGCAGTTTGTCGATTTGTTCTTGGTCATCGAACACCTTGAGTAAGCTGAGGCTTCCAATGATGAAGTAAGCACATGTGAGCCTATAGCTTTGCATTGATTGCATCTTTAAACAGTTTTGGAGGTTCGCACTCAAGTAGAAGATTGTTCTTTCGAAGGAATCTGGAAAGATTAGGGGCAAGGAGCTTACCGTCAGGTATGGATTCGAGGACTTTTAGCATCTTTTTGACATCCATTTTCAATAATTATATAAACATCAGGGGTTTTGGGGTTTTGGGGTTTTGGGG